GGTGTGGCTGCTCCCCTTGTGGAGGTGGGCGGGAGGGCACAGAGCAGGGTCTGACCGCACACTGGGCTCATGCAGGGTGTGTGACGAGCCCTCCTCTGAGGACCCCCATGAGTGGCCAGATGACATCACCAAGTGGCCGGTGAGCCGGGATATTGTTGGCTTTGGGGGTCACCCTTATTATGTGGGGGAGAAATCCACATTCTCATTTGGATACCAGGAGGCCCCACCATGGGAGCACCCGTTTTCAGATGCAGTGCCCCTGGCCTGTGCCTGGCCTGCCCCTCCACCACCTGCTTCTCTGAGCAGGTCGTCAGAGCAAAACCAGGGAGAGACTCGGGAGGTCAGATGCCATTATTTCAATTGGACAGATGGGAAAGCTGAGGCTCTGCCAGGGCCTGCTTTCTCCTGTGGGAGCCTGACCGTCTTTGCCCCAACCCCCAAGCACGGTGTTGGGGCACAGGGTTGGAGGAGGCCCCAACCCAACTCATCCCCTTTGTGATCCAGATCTGCACCAAAAGCAGCGCCGGGAACCACACCAACCACCCCCACATGGACTGTGCCATCACGGGCCGGCCCTGCTGCATTGGCACCAAGGGCAGGTGGGTGTGCCTGGGCCCCAGCACTGCTCTGGGGCTCTGCGCTTCTCCAAGTCCTGGAATAAGGCGAGATACGCAGCTGTGGGGTGAGAAAGGCTCTGGGCTTACCCAGGGCGGACAGAGATGGGCGCGTGGGCTGCAGCCTGGGCCTGGGCGGTGCAGCCAGGTGCCTGTGCCCCGGGCCCCAGCCCCTCGGCCAGTTCCCAAGCCGGGCCTGCCCTTGCAGGTGTGAGATCACCTCCCGGGAGTACTGTGACTTCATGAGGGGCTACTTCCACGAGGAGGCCACGCTCTGCTCTCAGGTAGGCCTCCAGGGTGTGTGCGTCCCCTCGCCCCCAGCCACGGAGCGCGCTGACAGGCCACTCTGCACAGGTGCACTGCATGGATGACGTGTGCGGGCTCCTGCCCTTCCTCAACCCCGAGGTGCCCGACCAGTTCTACCGCCTGTGGCTGTCCCTCTTCTTGCACGCTGGGCAAGTGACACCAGACGGGCCGAGGAGGGTTGGGTGGCCTCAGGGACCCCAGGAGTGGCTGGCCAGGGGATGGTGGAGGGGAGGCCTTCCCGGCTGAGTGTCCCCCTCCCCCCACAGCATCCTGCACTGCCTGGTGTCTGTCTGCTTCCAGATGACTGTCCTGCGGGACCTGGAGAAGCTAGCAGGCTGGCACCGCATAGCCATCATCTACCTGCTGAGTGGCATCACTGGTAACCTAGCCAGTGCCATTTTCCTGCCATACCGGGCAGAGGTAAGGCCGCCCTAGGGACCCAGCCTAGGAGCGTCTCCATTCGGCTCCTCGGTCCTGCTATGCTCTGGGCCATGAGAGGTGGGGTGGTTGTGGGTCCAGGGGTCCCGCTCAGCATCCCCACTGCCCCCAGGTGGGCCCAGCCGGCTCGCAGTTTGGCATCCTGGCCTGCCTCTTCGTGGAGCTCTTCCAGAGCTGGCAGATCCTGGCCCGGCCCTGGCGTGCCTTCTTCAAGCTGTTGGCGGTGGTACTCTTCCTCTTCACCTTTGGGCTGCTGCCCTGGATCGACAACTTTGCCCACATCTCGGGCTTCATCAGCGGCCTCTTCCTCTCCTTTGCCTTCCTGCCCTACATCAGCTTCGGCAGGTTCGACCTGTACCGGAAGCGCTGCCAGATCATCGTCTTCCAGGTGGTCTTCCTGGGCCTCCTGGCCGGCCTGGTGGTCCTCTTCTACTTCTACCCCGTCCGCTGCGAGTGGTGCGAGTTCCTCACCTGCATCCCCTTCACCGACAAGTTCTGTGAGAAGTATGAGCTGGACGCCCAGCTCCACTGAGCGGGTGGGGGCGCTGGGGCCACGGGCCTCCAGCAGGCTGGAGCCAGGCACTGCCCACCGAGCCTCACGCCACGGGACTGTCAGCAGGCCCTGGGGGCGTCCTGCCCGTTTCCTGGACACAGACCTCTTGTGCCTCGTTCACTGCTGTTGAACCTCTCGTACTTCCGGGCATTTATTACACTAGTTCCTGTGATTACCTTCTAACTAGTCTCCTGACGACCACCTCATGTGGCCAATAAATGGACTGGGAGCGTTTTAGCTGCCACTAACTTGACCAGAGCTGCCTCCTCCTTTCTGACAGGAAGTGTCTCAGATTCCTCCCCGAGGGAAGTCCATAATCCAGGTGGACCCACCTTGCTCCCTTTCCTTAAGACCCATGGAGGAGCGGTCACGTTTCCCCCCACACACTCACAAGGGCCCCAACTCCAATTTCAGCCCCAGGCTACCTCCCCTTCCAGGAGCCGGGAGGGCCTGAGGTGGATGAACCCCGTGGGCTGAGGCCGGAGGCCGGCCATGGCCGTGCTCTCGCACACAGGCTCCCGTTTCTCCACAAGCAGGAGCAGAAGCCAGCTGCTCTGCTGTTATTTTCTTGCTATAGAGCTCATAGTCACAGGGTCGTGTGGCATCTTAGACTCCGGCCATTCTCTGCCCCTTGCCTCCCCCACGATGGGGCTGCGCCAGGCCCTCATGTCCCGGTACTGTGGCTTTTTGACTTTTCAAACTAGAAAGCAAAGAGATTTATTCCGTACAGAGGGCCAGGCCCACAGCCTGTGGGATCGGCTGTGAAATTAGGGTGTTTGGGCCCAGAAGGGGTCAAACTTGGGTCTTGACACTGGCTCACCCAGTCCCACTCCCGAGGCCGGGGCTCACACCGGCAGTGCCAGCTGTGCCCAGCTGGGCGAGTCCATCTCAGCACTCTCCTGTGAAGAGGGGACAGTGCCCGAGGCGTCCTCCCGCTGGGGAGGAGCTTGGCCACCGGCACAGAGTGTCCCTGTTTGGAGGGTCATTTCTGCCTCAGTTTTTTGATGAAGGACACCTCATCCCGATTCCGGATACCATAGCTGGAAGAGAAGGAGAAGTGTCCAGTATCTAACTACAGAAGGCTCTGTCTGACTCCTCACCTGGGGCAGTGCCATCCTCCCACAGGCCCCACCGGGCCAGCAGGCAGCCTTCCCCTCCACGCACACTCTTTCTCCCTCTTCCTGGCTCTGTGGCCCTGACCTGCCATGCCCTGCAGCTCAAGGAAGTGGCCTGAACTTACTCCCGGAGCTTTTTCCTGTCGTCTGTGAGCTTCTCTCCCGCAGAGGTTAGATGGTACGTCCTCCACACATAGGACCTGCATGAGAGGGATTCAGGGAAACCGTGAGCAGGGGGAGCTGAGTGGGTGGGACGTACTAGTAGAAGCTGTGTGAGAAGGGCTCTCGGTGCGTAGCCCCAGCCCCTTGGCACAGAGCACCAGCCCTGTCTGAGGGATTGCGACAGGAGCTAGCTCTTGGCTCCAGTCAGTACTTGTAGCAGAGACCAGGTGATTAAGAAGCACGAGTCCAGCGCTGCTCCTGCGGAGCCCCACACCACCCCCAGGGAGGGCTGCAAGGAGCCGCGGCGTCACCTACCAGCTGATGTGCTGGATGCCCCCCTCGCGCTCCTGCCGGAGCTGCACGTATCGCTGGATGGCCTTCTTCAGGTCCAGGACCGTGGCGTTCTGCACCACAACCACAGCTGCAACAAGGGGCACCCGTGAGAGAAGATCCCACAGCCACAGCCACAGCCTTAGGTGGTGGGAGGGGAACCCAGCCCTGTCCAGCAGCCTTGTTTCTGACTGAGGCTCAGGTCCAGGCGGATGGGCTTGTGGATGGCCGCTCGGTGTCCCGCTGACCAGCCCCTGTGGAGGCTCAGCCTGCCTGGCCGGAAGGGAGGAGGGCAGCACTTACGCATGACTTCTCCATCCATCTTGCACACACGGACTGTCATTGCTTGGCCATATTCCAGGGCTATTTGGGAATTGACCTCTTCCAAAGTAACCTAGAAAAGACCCAGGGTGGAGGTGAGTGCCTGGCTCCGTAACACCCCAAACAGCAACAAGGAATACGCTGTGAGTGTCCAGAACGTGGTGCCATACTTTAGGAAGGACAAGAACGGGGAGTCTTGCTTACATATTAGGGCAGCCGTTCTCAACCTGTGGGTCGCGACCCCTTCGGGGGTCGAACGACCCTTTCACAGGGGTCGCCTAAGACCATCGGAAAACACATATATAATTACATATTGTTTTTGTGATTAATCACTATGCTTTAATTATGTTCAATTTGTAACAATGAAATTGGGGGTCACCACAACATGAGGAACTGTATTAAAGGGTCGTGGCATTAGGAAGGTTGAGAACCACTGTATTAGGGCTTCCCAGTTTCTTAGCACCTTGAGCTCATGTTTCATCCACATTTCCTATTTAAAGTCCAAAGTGGACGGAAGCTTGGAAGAAAGGAACAGACACAGGCAAGAACGATCAGCCCGGGATCCTCTCACCCAGGGGCTGGGTAGGAGGAGCACTGTGCTTGTCATTCATTCCGAGCCCCGATCACCAATCAGGACCCAGACCAGGACCTCGGGACAAGGTTTTGGCAGGCGTGCAATAACAAACGCTGTAATACAATTTTTAAGAAAACAGAAGTTAAACTCCATGATGGACAAAATAACATTGAAGTTTGAGATGGGAAAAATCAGTAATACTGACACAGTCTTTATTATTTTGCTTGCCACAGGCTGTTTTACACCAACTTGAGTTATAAACATACTGTATTAAAATGTCATGTGTCCCCGAAAGAAAAAAAGAAGGCATGTATCCTGGTTGCTGGAGGGGTCTGGAGCCTTTTAAAATCTCGCGCCCAGGAAGAGAGCCTCGCTCGCCCCACCCTAGGCCCGGCCCAGGTTAGGACCCCGTTTACACCCAGAGGTGCCTTACGAGGCCTCTGGGTCGCAGCCACACCAGCCCCGGGACCTGTCCACGCCCCTCGCACAGCCCGGCAGGGGACGCGCGCACCTGGATGGGCAGGTCGCAGAGCAGCGGGTCCTGCACCACCATGGCGAGACCCTCCTGGAACACGTCCACCGCC